ATCTGAAAAAACCCCCCCCCCTCCTTCAAATTCTTCTCTCCCCTCATTTCTTAACCTATTCTGAATTTCTTCAATCCTCCGTCTTGGATCCGGAATTGGCTCCCACCGTCAGAGCTTGGATCCGAAATTGGCTCTCGCCATCAGAGCTTTCTCCTCCATTTTTATCTTTAAGAGATCCTTTTACCAAAAACAACGTTCTCTGAAATGGCACAGAGAACAGGACAGCCTGAAACATAATCGAAACCCCATAATCGGGACCACATTGAGTCGCCCGACCAAATCAGGTCTCATATTGGCTAAGAGTCCAGTAGTAAGATCCGGATGTTCCCGTAATTGGATCAAATTGGTCCTTCGCGTCAGATTGGCTGAGGCCCATACTAAGACCTGGATTTTCTCGTAATTAGACTGCATTGGGTTGCCTGACCAATTCAGGTCTCATATTGGGTAAGAGGACCTGGATTGGATTCTTGAAATTGGATCCAATTGGCTCTTCAAACGAGGCTCACCCGTTGTGTGAATTGGTCCTTTCCCTTCTTGCTGACTCCCGTTATTGGAATCGAATGGAGCATTTCAGTATGCCCCGGCTGACTGTAACGGGGTGACTGAACCTGGCCACTCAGTATTTGCACTGGAGTTGGTCGTTGCTCCGAATATTCGAGGTAACTGAACATTAATAAAAGTCCTCTTTCTTTATACTTTCACAGTATACTCGTATTACAACACGACAACGGTTCTCAAATCGGAATTCAAAAAGGCAATTGTCGCACTTCACAGCAAAGTCAATTGCTTGACTCAATGTTTGAGGATCAAGTAAGTTGAGCATTAATTTTTTTACCTCATATTATAATCCGTAGAAAAATTGGCTAATAAATGCAACATCATCCCACTTGATAACAGTTGTAAGTTGTCAAAATTGTGAAACATATAACGTTACTAATCGATTGTCTTGTCGTAAAATACGGAACTTATTGGTTGCAACACGAGTTGCATCATATTCTCTATACATAGATCGAATCTCTGTAAAAAAAGCCTCTAGATTATCCAATATTGAATCTCGTCGTTCAAGAAAAGATGAAAACCACGATAGTGCTGAACCTGAAAGAAGCGTACCAATGAATCTAACTTGCGATACTGGAGTTGGATAGCTTTGGGGTTGAAGTTCAATTACAAGTTGCACTTGATTGATAAATCCTTGAAACTTGGATCTCGTGCCATCAAACTTCTCGAATAGGGTAATTCTTGGTTTTCTAACATTTGAAGGGCGTTCCACCATAGGAGAAAGGACATGGTTTGGTGCAGATGTTGAAGCAGCTCCAACCATTTCTATATCTTCACTTCCTGCCAATCTTGTTGCTCCTTGTGGTGGTAAATTGAGTTGATGCATCGCAAGCATTAACTCCCTCAATTGCTCTTGCATTTGTGCCATTGCACTCTTCATTTCAACAAGTTCTACCATGATAATACTTAGAAGAGAGAAGATGTCTAATATCGCTTAAGACAAATAGAAGAGAGGACTTGAGAACAAAGAAAATACTAAGGATAATATCAGTTTAGAAGAGAGTAATCCGCAACTTCTAATATGCTTATACCTTATCAAAAAAAAGGGGTAATCCACTCTTAATCAAGATTAGACAAAGCTCTGATATTGTAGGTGTACTCTTGTCAATCTGTCAAGGACAAAAACTCGATAAAAAAAAATAATTTAGACAAGTGAGCCTTCATTCAAAGAGAGGTAACAAAATATATATAAACAAGTATATATATTGAAAGAGAAACTGGAATGGCTATTGCCAAAAGATAAGAAAATTAGAGACCCTTGAAACTAGACTAGAAGCAAGAAAGGAGTTGACAAGAGTGAAGAAGCCTTCACTCTTGTCTCTATATATACTATCTAACTAGGGGCTACATGGCAACGTTCTATAGGACCTCCAATATGTGTTGACTTTGTAGGACACATGCCTTGACTTACAAGGCAAGTTTTTCTACGTGTGGGCCACATAGTTAGCTTGATCTTCAAGCTAATAACATGTGTGGCACATGTCCAACTTGTTGACCACGTTTCTAATCCAAAAAGTCAATTAAAGACACCTATGAAGTCAAAGCAGCGTCTATGAAGCTTCTAGAAAGCTTCCATATCAAATACTATAGAATTAACTTACTTTTACCTACTTTTACTTACTTCTACAGATTTGTATATATAATTACTAGCTTACATGATTATGTCTGTGACACTAATATCATATTACTTCATGCCTTTCCTTCTAACTCTTGCATTATTTAATTTTTGTTAGCACAAAAACATATATCCTTCTTAGTTTGTAATATTGATAACCATGTTAAAGACTTCAAACAAGAGTTTTTAAGTTACCAAAGATTTCGTTTGGAATTGAAGAATTTCTACTTTGACATATCATTTAAAACATAAATAAATAAAATTCCTCTAACACAAATGACTGAAAAGCATGAGTGCAATGCAAGAATTCAACATCCTTTGTAAAACTTAGGTATAAAATCAAAACCATTTAATGGTGACTTAACATTCCATAGCTTCAAATCTTAGGTGTTTTTTGCCATGAGTTGCTTACAAATAAGAATCTACAAAACGTGCTAAAACTTCAATGGAATTCAAATACTGAAAAATATTAGATTTGAACTAAATACAAGGTCAAAGAATTGATCAATTTAACAATCATGCTTATAATAATATGAGTTAATCGTACAATGATGAAAGATCCAAAAAACTATAATAAATAGTTATAAATAGTTATATATGGAAATGTGACATATTTATGAGCATAGTGGTTTTTTATTTGGAAACTTCATAATTGAGATTAATTAAAAGATAGAAGATTGTATTTTGAGTTGTATTACCTACTTTTATTTTCTCAAAAATATTGAAAATTTCTTGTTCTTTTTTTCTAAGATTTTTATCATATATATGGTGAGGTAAATGTATTTCAACTACTATTTATTTTAGATTGAAGCAAGAACTTTATTGAACAATTCAAGAGAATAAGATGCCAATGTAGCTAGCATATGAGCAATTTGGCGAACTTGCTGCAAATACAAAGTACATTAAGTCCATGATTAAAAGAAGTTGGTCCTTATTCATTCTTTAGATGATTCATTTATGATACTACATTGGGATTAGATTCTAAAATTCAAAGGAACAAGAACAAAAGTAATTTGTAAATTTTGCAAAGTCTTAGTATACTTATTTATACTTTACAGGTGAGAAAAGCCAAAGGAAGAAATTTTGCAAGTTGTGTTTATGGTTTGGAGCTTGGAAACAAAATATCACTAGCAAAAGAAATGACAATTAAAGAAGGCATTTTTATAGACTATAAGAAGGATTTTATCACATACATTCAAATGTTGAGGTTCATATGCAAAAATAGGAAAAAAAATGAGACATTTCAAATCATATGTCCACAATGTTTTTTCAGCATCAAAAACTAAAATGGTAGTGTTATAGTCTATTTAGCATGAAGAGGCGTATTGTGCTAAAAGAGTGCCAAAGAGAACCTGCCAACTTCTTTCAAGTATGCAAGTTGATCTCTATTTGCACTTAAAAAAGAATAATTGTGATACCTTATGAAGTTAAAAGGTAAATTTGATATTATCACAAAAGTGATAAATACATTTGCTATTATTAAGAATACATGGATATTATTGATATTTCAACATATTTTAGAAATATATATGATATTTTTCTTTAAAAAAAATTATATTTTTAAAATCTATGCGAACAAGCATAAAAATAAGAGTTCTTGTAATAGCACAAAATATCGTAGTAGTAAACATAATAAACTGATATTCAAGAATATAAATTATATTCAACTTTTTAAACTTGATAAAACACTAATCTAACCAAAGCATAAATGAAAATACTCAATCTCTTCAAATTGAAAATTTCAACTCAATTTATGTATATATATATATATATATATATATATAAAGAGATTTGATATAAATATCAAATAATAAAAATAAATAATTAATTAATTAATATTAAGATATTATAATTTATAATTAGAATAATATATATATATATATATATATATCTAATATTATCTTATATAAGTTAAAGAACTTCTTATGGCAAAACATTGATAAAATTAATCTATTTTTTATTTAAAAAAATACAATCCAATTTTTTTAAGAGAAGAAGGAATATTTTTGGAAATCTATATTTTGAAAACAAACAATAGTTGTCAAATGTTTGTTCCAAAGATTAAAAGAAAATTAACATAATATGAATTTATTTATTTATAATTAGATTATTTGAATTTGAAAGAGTAACATTATCTTTGATAATAACATATGAAATGGCACATATATACATTGCTTTATCTAAAATAGTATTGTAGAGTTCATACAAAGAAGGTAAGAAGTAAGAAAAACAATCTAGAAATAACTTGACCATAATGTCAATCTTTTTAAGAAATAAATTAAATTATAGATGTCAAATAAAACCTAAAAATACACACATGATTTTGCAATCAAACAACAAAGTAAAATCCCTTCTAATAGCACACTTCTTTGTGCTATAAACAAAAAGTACAGTAGTGATTTGGACATACTAAAAATTTATGTTACACTCTACTAAAATCTACCTTACAAATGAAAACAATAGAAATGAGAAAACAATAGGACATAGTTTGCTTGTAACATGGGGCACCAATCAATCAATGTGATTGATACAACAACCACGTGTATGGCAATAAAGCAAAAGTAAGAGAAGTGTGTCATCCTTTACCATTTGCCCTCTTGGACGACAGCCAACAACTGCAACAAGCAATTCCACTTTTTAAAGTACAAGTCATAACGTCACAGTTGTACATAAATGACCAGTGCCACAAGTGCCACAGGAAAGGAAGCATTGAATGTAGTTGCAAATGTATATGGTGCCAAAAATACCCACAAGAAAAAACCCGAAAAAAACACCCAAAAAAGTAGAACCAACAATCAATAACTAACCTCCACCCAGTGTCCGCAGCACCTTCGTCCACATCACCGTCTTGTTCCAGCCCAGTCCCGTTTTTAGGGTTTCGTTTCCTACTTCCATATTCCAATCTTCGTGCTTTTGAAGCCGAGGTATTGGGCTTCGAGAGTGTAGTCGAAGGTCGTGAGTGCAGCCATGCACCAAGCTCGCCGCCGCTTGGCGGTCGTGTTGGGCGACCGGCTGATCACATCGCCGCTTTTGCAGCGGCCCCTGTATTTTTCCGGTTTTTCGAATGGGTTTCGAGGGATTGGTGAGGTTTCTTCTCGCGTTGGGGAGGTGCAGTGGCTCGGGAAGAGAGTAGGAGAGGGAGTGAGCAGGGGTTTTGCGACTAGCGCAGGTGCAGTTGAGGAGGTTCCGAAGAGGAGAGGATGGGCGCGGAAGCTGGGAACTGTGGTAGTTGGGACTGGCGTTGCGGGAGCTGCGGCTTGGGTTGCCACCGGGGACTACCCTGTGCGGAGAGCGAAGATGTTGTACACCATTCCTGTGCGATTGGCTCGAGATGTTGCTACTGCTGTCGCTATGGTTGCAGGTTAGTATCTGGGTAGTTATAATTGGGTGTGAGAGGGTGGAGGAGTTCACCGTTTTTGGTTTGTTTGATTGTTTGTTTTGTAACTGTGGGAATATATATTCGTAAACTAATTCTACTGCTGCAAAATAAAAATGTCCACATAGTCTTGTATAAGTCAAGCTGAATCTGACTCTATGGGTGCAATTTTTCTAGCTACAAAAGTTGAGTTGAATTGAATTGAATTGATGGAACTATCGCATCGAGAACGGGTCTTGTATGGATTAGTGTACTTTTAACTTAGATCATGAGTAATTTCGTTGTGTCAGATTACAAGTATTCCCTTCATGGGCTGCCGGAAGGGAGCCCCGAGAGAGAGGCTGCTAAGCATGAGGCTCATCTGCGCGGCGCCAACCGCCTGCAAGCTTTGTGCTTTAGAAATGGAGGAATATACATCAAACTCGGTCAGCATATTGGTCAATTGGTAGGTTTGCTGTTGGGTGGTGAAAGGTTAACTGTGTGGATCTGTGTTGTGTGTAGTGATTCCGCTCGATTTCTCGTTTTACTACTGTTCTATGTAGCCTAAAACAGATACCTGTTCAGGTTTGGGTTCATATGTGAAGGCTTGTCTGTGTATGGTTTTGGTTTATCTGTAAGTCACCATATTGATGTTTGCACTCCCTATCCAGGATTATCTATTACCAGAGGAGTATGTAAAAACTATGCGGGCTTCAATGTTGGACAAGTGTCCTGTTTCAACATACAAGCAAGTATGCGATGTGTTTGTTGCTGAACTCGGCCGTCCTCCACAAGAGGTATTTCTTGACTACTAATCATGTACTGTATAAAAGATGTTCTACAAAGGTCGGATTAAATTGCATATATATATATATATATATATATTAATCCACTTTTTGTAAACATAGATTTGGCTACTTAAGACGGGTATATAACTTCTTCGTAGAATCGTGCATACTTGCACGCTCCTTGTTCCTTTCGTCTAATTATATGTATTTGAAGAACTATGTCAAAGAACTATGTTGAAGTACTCTGTATATGATGGCCAGTTTTCTGAAGCAGGCATTTGTAAATAGGGCATGCCTCAATGTCCTCAGGTTTTCAAAGTGGTATTTTCCGTATGAAAATGCTATTCATGGGTACATAATTGTGGATGAATTTATAATTTGAGCTGCCTAACAATTCGATGATAATATATGTTAGGAAATGGATGCTGCTATTGAGGCGTCAGAAGGTTAGTCAGTACCACTAGTCGGTTGGCAACAGATATAAGAACTAAGAATAGACAATTGGCCCAGTGGAAAATCATGCTATCTGTTGTACGGTAACTGAATTCCACCTTTTGTGCTCCAACCATTTAGGCTCTCTAAACGGGATACATTATTTAATGAAGGTTCATTTATCCGAGTTACCTCTCTCACTATTCTTCTCGTTTTGGTTGTTGTATATGGTAGGTCTTCGCAGAGTTTGACCCGGTGCCACTTGCCAGCGCGTCATTGGCTCAGGTCCATGTGGCTAAAACTTTTGATGGTCAGAAAATTGCTGTTAAGGTACGTTTTTAATTCCTCAGTCCTTAACTACTGTGGATTAGCCATCTATGTTTTTGGATATGGAAGTTATCAACTTTCACATGTACGAAGATCCCAACTACCACTTGAACTCTTTTTTTCTATGTCTAATCATGAATTGTGCTCGAGGGCAGATTCAACACATGCACTTGACAGACACTGCTCTTGCTGATACCGCCACTGTTAGTCTTATCGTCAACGTTGTTCATTGGTTCTTCCCTTCTTTTGATTACAGGTATCGTTTATTTTTCACGATATTTGCTGTTTGAGATGGATTCTTCCTATACTTATTCCTCAAAACTTTTAGAATTTTAAATCCCTTCTTGTTTGTTAAAGTTTAGCGCTATGAAACTCCAGTAATAGAATTGTTAGCCATGCACTTGACAAGTTTATCAATAGTGTGTATTCTGACGTACTTCTGCGCAAGTGCAATGTTATCACATGATCACCCTCAATACATAAATACGTTTGAATCTCCTTGCAATTATTTATTTACTTTTTTTGTACCGTTGGCAGGTGGTTGCTAGCTGAAGTCCGCGATAGTCTTCCCAAGGTTTGTACCCTTATGTTTATTTTCTAACTAACAGGAATGTGATATGGTAGTTCGGATAACTTGTGATCTGAGTGAGTTTGAGTAACATGTGGTACCTTGTATGAGCATGGTCATCATTATGGTGCTGATGACTGTATGTTAACCTGGTTGTGTAGGAACTAGATTTTCTGAATGAGGGCAAGAACTGTGAAAAGACTATTATGAATTTCAAGAAGATGTCTCCTAAGCTAGCATCTCAGATCAAAATACCCCGTATTTATTGGGAGTTGAGTACGCAGCGCATCCTTGCTATGGAGTATATGGAGGGTGTGGGGGTGACTGATGTGCAAGCGTTAAAAGCACTTGGCCTACGTCCTGCTGATGTTGCTCGATTGGTACGTTTCATCGTCTGAATACTCAAAGAATAGATTTCGTAGTGCGCAACAACTTTTTAGCTTGCCTTGTACGCTTAGAATCATCTGCGTCTCTGAATGTATTCAGAAGGTGAGGTTACATTTATCATTTGTAGACTTTGCACGTTTGCATCTGTGTAATATTTCTGATGGTGTCGGCCTGTGTTCCAGATCAGTCAAACATTCACCGAAATGATTTTCCGCCATGGATTTGTGCATTGCGATCCTCATGCTGCGAATATGATGATTCGTGTTAAGCCTGGTATGTTGTTTTTGGTTTGGGTTTTCATTTAGATATTTCACATGTGAATAGAAGTCAGCCCTGTATATGCTTTATCCTCTGTCTTGGTTTCTTGCTGTTACTGTATACCTGATGATTGCCTGCAGCTCTTTCTATTATCTTCGCAAATTCCCGCTGTTAGATAGTTGCTTTGGTCTGTGAAGAATTTGCCACAACGTTTGATGTTGTCTTTGCTTCAGGTACTAAGGAACCTGAACTTGTCTTATTGGACCATGGGCTGTATAAAACTTTGGATCCTGTAATTCAATCGAATTATGCCGGTTTATGGAAGGTCCGAAACTTACCTGTGCGATCTGCGTTGTGTTGCCTACTATGACATGGTCTTACAATTTTACTAAAACATACTGACAATGCAATTCTAAACTGGTGTTTACGTAGATAAATAGAACATACAGTGTACTAAAGTTAATGACAGTATGACATAATAGATTGTCTACTTGTTATCGAAGATATGTTATCTTCTCATTTGACATTAATTTTAGCTTTTGACCAGAAGAATGGCTTTATCTTGATTTACAAGAATCTATTTCAACAGGGTTGGATCATGTCAGGGTCTCTGTGATCGTTTGTCCTATTAATTGTAAAGCCAATTTGTGAAGAACAGCGATTATCCTGCCTTAAAATGTGACGTCTAAAATTCTATCTTTCGTGCACACAGGCTCTAGTGTTCGCAGATTCCAAGGAAATTAAGGAGCATTGCATTGGATTGGGGGCTGGTGATGACTTGTATGCTTTGTTTGCTGCAATTCTTACAATGCGTCCTTGGGACAAGATTGTGGATCAGTCAATCGATCACCTACTTGTACCTGACACTCCAGAGGAGAAAGATGAACTTCAGGTTAGTTGGTCACTCCATACCGTCATCGAAGTAATGATTTTTTTAATCTTAAACCACGCAATTATGTTCTGTAGAAACTTCATACCTTATTTATTGTATCACACGTGCAAATGGAAAACTTTCGTTTGAGCTTAAAAAATCATGGATTTTATTATACATCTCTTAAAATGTCCTACGATTTATCGTACGTTTACTCCTACGTTGAGAGTTTTGGTGTGATCTCTCGGGTATGTCTATTGAGAGTTTTTTCTTGTCATATATTCGCAGCTACTAATTTTTTTCTGACGTCGATGGTCCCAATATCTAGGGTTATGCGTCACAATACTTTTGGGAAATATCAGCTTTGCTCAGCCGATTGCCGCGAGTGGTGTTACTACTATTGAAAACAAACGACTGCCTGCGGGCCGTTGATAATGCTCTGGTAAGTCAGCTTGTTAGGGTCGACTGACTAAATTCAATGGGTATCGCAGTGATCGAGAGTCTTTAGTGTTCATCTTTAGCAGCTGAAGATAATTTTGTTACAGATTAAAAAGGCATGCTTTTAGATTGAGAGGATCATATGGCCAGAGTTCTCAGGATGTGAAAATTACTATAAGTGATAATCAAAGAACTGCAGTTCCGGGGTTTCAAATGGAAGTGTTCACCGTCAGCACGCTCCGTCACCTGTTGGAACTTTGATGGTTACAGAAATGTTGGGTCATGGTTATAGAAATGTAAGGTCATTCTGGATCGAACATAAATTGTAAGAACGTAACGGATGTTGTTCTGTCTGGACCTTATGTTTTATGGTCCTTGGGCAGAATGATTCTTTGAGATATGTATGATAAAATGTACCTATTGAGAGTGTTGTCATAGCAAGATTTGGGAAGGTTTTTATTATTTTAACTTCGGTTTCAATTGCATTTCCAGTAGTTTAATATATAAATCTATGTGTGCAGGGTGCTCCCATAAATACGTATCTAATTGTTGCGAGGACATCATCCAAGGCTGTTTCTGAGATGGAGCGGAAGGGACTATTTTCTAAGGTTTTACAGTTGTGGGATAGGCTTGACTTAGAGCTTCGCTTATTAACTTGGAAAGCAGCTGCTTTATTGATGGGAATTAAGCACTGTATGAAGAGACTAGGTTTTAATTGACGTTGAGTCACTAGAATGAAATTCTTCAATCGCATAGGTTAACAGCATTGAGTAGATTAGTCAGGTAAATGTAACATACTGGCAATAAGTTAGATTGGTAATAGCCTCAGGTATAACTCATTTTTTACAGAAAAAATAAGAAACCAGTAGGTAATCTACAATCATTGCCATGGATGTCCTACAACCTTCAATTCATGCACTGCATACTGGTTCTTGAGAAATGAACTGGTCAGCTTTTCTATGGAACTTGGGATGTGCATGAACTTGTTTGCGTTTTTGGCGTGATTTAATGTTGTATCTTATTTCAGTCGTAATTTGCGAGAAAGTAACGTGCACAGCCTACTCCACTCTATGTGTATACTTCATTCTCTCACACTCAAGATGACTTGTTTTATAGCTTTCACACATTCAGAGAATTGTTCTTCTGTAGGGTGAGTTGATGTTGCATAATTCATTTCATTCTACGAGTACACCTGGACAACTGGAAAGCAAACGATTGCTGTCGAAAATGCGGTTGCCCCAATCTCTTGATCTGAATAAACCACATCGTAGATGTGTCCAGATTCCACCCGTCATGCTGCGCTGGAATTTGTGTCCAGAATTGTGCTCAGTTAGTGAGGTTTTCGTTTATTCTGCACCTCCTATCCATGTTCATATAGACTTTTTTGAAACCACTTCGTTTATTTTGGTATCTTTCGTGTGAACCGGGGAGTGGAAAATCTCTCTGAAGAGCACGTAATGCCTGGATTGATAAGCACTGAGTCTGCTAGTAGTTGGAGCTCACTATCATGGCACCAGCTATGCTCTGTAATATACGAGAATCCACGGTTCATCCTTGAGACTGGTCATGGGGAAATAACTAAGTGAGCTTCTTAAATAAGTGCTTCATCTTGTCTGTAGGTAATTTATGAGGTTCCTTTCATTTTTGTATTTTCCGTCATTTTACTTCAGGATGATTCAGAGGTTTGCCACTATATATGCTCCAAAATTGTTCGATTCCAAAACGATGAACTGGTCCAAATTTTTCTTGGCAAGGACGAGCATTTTCTATGGCACCAAGAGACTGCCAACATGATCAGCAATCTAGATAGTAGTAATCAAAAGAGGGTACCATCTGAAATGTTTCCACATTCTCACTTAGAAGTTTTGTTTAAGATATTCAACCTATGCCTTCATTCATCCACCAAACATCCCCTTGTCCTCATTAGGATTAGGTGAAATGTAGAGTTACTATTACAACAATATTTAATGTGGCTCTTAACCTAAGTGCATGTAACTTTTTTATTGCCTAATGAAAAATAAATTGTCTTATACTTCCTACTTAGTTAAGAAAGGTGATAGAAGTACTATAGGAAAATATACCCTAAAGAATAAATACCTAGAGAGATGGAAAAAACCGAAGAAAAGTTCTTGAGTTGTGAAGTAGGAGAGTCAAACAAGTTATTAAGTACTCAAAATTACTATGTAAGGAAGCTAAAAATGTTTGCAATCATGAAACAAGAGAATTTCTGGAACATAGTAGAAATAAAGAGGTTAATGACTTTATTCCTTATACCCATTGTGGGTAGATCCTATACTAAGTCACAATTAGCAACATGTCAAGGATATGAATCTTGAAGAAAGAAATCCTCAATACACTCTTATGTCTCTAAAAAGAACTAAAAACTTATTCAAAGATGATACAATATTGAATTAGAATGGCTACTGCTAAAAACAAGAAGAGTAGAAAATCTTGAAATAAGACTAAGGACTAGAAAAGCATTGACAAGAATGAAGAAGGCTTCACTCTTGCCTCCACATATATTCTTAATTAGCAACTATGTGGCCATGTCCTATAGGACCTCCAAAACATGTTGACTATGCAAAATACATATCTTAACTTGCAAGGCAAGTTTTTCATATGTAGACCACATAATTAGCTTGTTCCACAAGCTTTTAAAACATGGTTAAGTTGTTGATCAAGTTTCTAACCTACCAATCAATTACAAATATATGTAAAGTCAAAGCAACATCTATAAAGCTTCTAAGAAGCTTTTCTAGAAGGTATTATGAAATAGACCTACTTTTATCTATTTTTACCTACTTCTACTTAATCATATAGATATTTATTAGAGTATATATGTCTATCCATGATATTATCCCTTCTTTTAAGGACAAGTTCCATGAAGAGCGATTATTGTGTATTGATGAAATTCAAGATGCGACAAATTGTATTTGCAACATACTTTGATCTTTATTTTCTTTGAAGATGTTTGAGGCCTTTATAACTTCCTTCAAATAAAATAATTGAAACATCATCAAGAATTGTTTCCATTTCTAATAAAATTACCAAATATCGAGAAACTCTTTCAAAGTTATTATACCAAATACATTATATCTCACCATCTATTTGAAAAAGGACATGTCATTCTTGAGGATATTCATCTTGATTATGTTGTCTTGCAGATTGTAACAATAGAAATGTATCATCCAATAAGTTAGCAAGTGAAATCTTTTAGGTTGAATCTACTCATTGTGAGTTTTTCATTTTCTAAATATCATAAATACACAGAAGCTACAAAGTATCATGGATATACATACATATTCTAATAAATACATATATGATTAGATAGAAGTAAGTAAAAGTAAATAAAAATAGATTAATTTCATAATATCTTCTAGAGAAGCTTCTTAGAAGCTATATAGATGCTACTTTGATTTTACATGTGTTTGTAGTTGATTAATAGGTTAAAAACTTAGCCAATAAGTTAACTACATATTGGTAGCTTGCAAAACAAGCTAACTATGTAGTCCATGTATAAAAAACTTATCTTGTAAGTAAAAGATATGTCTCTTGCAAAGTTAATATGTTTTGGAGATCTTATGGAATATCTCTACATAGCTCCTAATTAAGAATATATATATAGAGGTAAGAGTGAAGCCTTCTTCACTCTTTTCAATGCCTTTCTAATTCTTAGTCTTACTTCAAGACTTTCTAATCTTCTTGTTTTTTCCATTAGCAATTCTAATTTAATAATATATCATCTATGAGTGACTTTTTAGTTCTTTTCAATGTCACAAGAATGTATTGAGGATTTCTTTCTTCGAGATTCATGTCCTTGACAATTTGACAAGAGTGCTAACTTATTGTTTTTTTCTTGTTTTAGAAGTGAGTGGATTACCATACTTCTATAGTTGAATTTTGAAAATTATAGACTATCCATCTTTAAACAAACAATCTTGTTTTCTAAGATAGATTCTTTCTTACAAGATAGTGAATTATCCCTCTTTGTAGAAATTTTCACTTGATATTAGAGGTTATAGATTATCCTCCTCTAATTTAACTTTTTGAACTTGTTTGAGTTGTCTATGAAAGTAAAGATTCTGGATGCTACTGTCAGTGGGAGTAAGAATAGATTTGCAATTATTATAGATTTTCATGAGTTTTTTAATATTCTAAGAGTAGAAATCTCACATGTTTTCAACATGATTCATAGACATACTATTCCTATGCCTATAGAAAAAGTTCAAAGTCTGCATCAAGAAATTGTGTAGTTGAAAGAAGTAAGTAGATTGACCTTACAACCAAATCCAAAGAATTTTGCTTCTATAATTATAGTGGAGATAAAGATTAGTATGCCTGAGAAGTTTGATGGAACAAGATCAAAATTTCAAGGATTTTTACAACAAGTCAAGCTCTATCTTAGGTTGTATTTCTTCCAATACTCCAATGGATTTACTCAAGTCAGATTCAAAGGTACATTTCTATCAAGAAGTGTTCTCTCTTAGTTTGTATCTTTAATAGGAAATGATTCACAACTCCTTTATGATTTGTATTCATTCCTAAAAGTATTTACGGCCATATTTAGAAAAAGTGATTGAAAAAAAGTAGCAAAGTTTAAACTCTTATTTTTATAATAAGTATCATGGTTAGCCACCATGTATGCTATTGAATTCCAAAACCTTACTTACAATGTAGATTGAAATGAAAAAGTCCTTATTAATCAATTTCAATATGAGTTGAAGGATAATGTCAAAGATTTATTACTGACAACATCAAAGGCAAAATCTTTGGAACAATTTATTGCTCAAGGCATTGCATGCAAGAATCAATTATTTGAAAGATGTTAAGAAAAAAGACTTGGCTGGAGAGGAACAAATCAAATAATGATGGCTATTTTCAAGTTTTTAGAAATATATTCATCAAGGCCAAAACCAATGCAAATTAATATGATATGTTTTAAATACCTCATGAAACAAGAAAAGACTTAATGATGTCAAAAACTCTTATGCTTATATTGTGGAAAAGCTAAACATACTGCTCAACATTGTCCAAAGAAACAATGCAACCACAAAATGAGAAGCATGGTTGCTAAAGAAGACAATGTGTCAGAAAATAAGTTTCTCCAACTACAATAAGGATCATGTGGCTAGAATCTTGCATAATTCCTAGTAAAAGTCCTATTCTTTCTTCAAACCTCTTACCTTGTTTTACAATAGAAGTTTATTTAGGACCAAAAAATCACAAAGTCTTACCTTTGTTAGATTCAAGAGTCTCAGCTTGTTTTATAGATGAAGATTTTGTCAAAAAATAAGAGATATTGTTAGTCAAAAAAACTAAATCTATATATATAGAAGTCATATATGATCATTTATTATCTTTTGGAAATGTTATGCATGAGATTGTTCCTTTAGATGTAACAATTAAAGATCATAATAGCATAATAATATTTAATATGATATGATCTTTGTCCAATTTGATTATTTTAGGATTATTTTGATTAAAAAATTATAATTCTTAGATAGATTGGATTTCTTATAACTTTAATTTTTTTGATAGTTTGATCCAAAATCTTGTTAGTCAAGTAAAAATATATAAGTCTAAAACATCCAAATTTTTACTAATAAGTGCGAGAAATTTTATGCTTGTTACAAAAAAAGGATTATCTTTTGTTATATATGCCATGTCTAGTTTTGATGGCAAGAAGATGCCGAGTAATATTCCTAGCTAGTAACAAGATTTTTAAAACATTTTTGAAAAAAAAAATGTAGATATTCTTTCAGAGCATCGTCCTTATAATTGTTCCATTAATCTTTATGAAAGAGTTCAACTACCATTTGGACAAATCTATAGCCTATCACAAAACAAGTTGATTACACTCAAGGAATACATTAATGAAAATTTGGCTAAGAATATCATATGCCATTTTAAATCTCTAATAGAAGCTCTTATCTTATTTATGAAGAAAAAAGACAAATCTTTGTAGATGTGTATGGATTATTGAAGATTCAACAAGATCACCATCAAAAATATGTATCCTCTATCTTTGATTTG